AGTTCTTTCAGCCTTCCTTCATAGCAGCCTTCTTTCAGCCATGATGATATCTTTTGACTGGTACTTTGTGTTTTGCATCATACTGTCATTTAGTCACTGCAAGAGTGGAAGAGCTATTAAATAAAGCTCTTTGTCCTCACTGAACCTTAATGCATTGGATCAGAGCCACAGAGTCAAAAGTCAAAGTACATTTTCTTCCTTAGATCCTTAAATTCTGGTTTTATTGCACAATCAAAGAACGGGGTGTTTCCCTTTGGAAGTGATAACCTTTAGCTCTTAAATTTGGGAAACCACAGGTCTTTACCCATTTTCATTCTCTGTGCTCTTTTAAATGTATTCGTTTTCTGTCATTTTAATTAATGCTGTCTGGGGCAAACATCTTTTGAAGCTTGGGAATTTAAGGGTAACTCAGAATAAATGGAGAACTTGAAACCTCTGCCAGAGAAGTCAGATTGGCGCAGTGACTCTTGGCCTGCTTTCAAAACGCAGTTACTTTTAATTAATGGATTTTGATAAACTTACTCCCCGTTGCCCTTGCCATTTTGTTTCTCTTTTAAATTCTCTACCAATTTTAATTAAGCTCTTATTCCTATCCCTCCCATCATCCTCTTATCTGAGAACATCCCAAACATTAATTCATTTATCAACACATCCCCTCTTGAGGTAGGACAGTATTATTGTCCCCATTGTACATATAGAGAACCGAGGCACAGATAGAAATTAAGAGCTAACTTTTCAAAGGTATTTACATTCCTAAAGATGCAGATAGGCACCTAGTGGAATTCTCAAAAGTGTATAAGTAGGTTAGGTGCCTAACTCCCATTGACTTCAATGGAACTTAGGTGCCAAATGTGCTTAGGCAGTTCTGAAAATATCATGAGGCATCTATATGCATCTTTCAATGTCTAAATACATTTGAAAATCTGGCCCTCAATAGATTGGTCAAGGTCATACAGGCAGCCTGTGGTAGAGTTGGGAATTGAACTCCCATCTCTCAGGTGTCAGTCAGTGCTGTAACCACAAAATCCTCCTCCCTTTTGGTGAGAAACTGCATATGTCAAGGGAATGGGTATGCGATGGGGTGTGGATGGGGGGACTGAAATAAGCCAGCATGGGCAGAGCAGAGTACTTCTTGCCTGCAATCTAATAGCAGAGCACAATAATCATGAGTGACGAGAGAACCTTAAAGGGTCTGGAGATATGGTCTGGATTCATACTTTTCCAAACCTCTTTCATCTGGAAATCAGAATGGAAATTTCATGAGAACAGGCTTTTTGTCACAGTTCCAGGACATCCTGCTTCCATTGGATCAGAAATACCACAAGAACAGCTTTCCTCGCAGTATTTTGGTACATTCACTTCCCTTCCTGGCTGAAACCGAGCAGCACAGAAAAGCATGAAAATGGGAAAATGCAAACAAAATGAGTTAAAGAAAAGTCTTTTCATCCTCGTGAGGCATTCACGTCCCATGTGTGATGAAGGCTCAGCAGACCTATTCTTTTATTATTCGGAATGGTTCCTCCAACTCTAACAGTCAGATTGTAGGTTTAGACTTTATTTGCTTATTTTGTATTCCTGGAAGGAAATTAATTACATAAAATACACATAAAATATCAATAACCATCCCAAGATAATAAAAGTTATCTTCTGTCGGCTGCTATGTGGTCTATGTGAAATGAGTTCCTATTTCTAGTGGGTAGGTGTCTTCAGCCAAGAAAATATCATCCACATGCAGCAGAGATGTCAAGGGCAAAATGGGCCTGGTGAATAAACTACTCTGTTACCTCCTAGGATGTGCATTGGTGGGATAGTACAAGAAAGCTTGCACTGCTGTTTGCCTGTGCTGTATCTGGGATATGGATAATTAAAAGGCCTGAGTCTCCAGGACTGTCAACCCAACCCCTATGAACAATGTTATTCACTTAATGAAACCAAGGGTTTAGAAGAAAAATAAAACCCTGTCGGTACCTGTTGTGCAGTTATTGATTCTCTGCTAAATGTTGCCAGTCCTGACTTGCCCATTGCTGCCAGAAGACAAAGCCCTGTGTTTCACATCCAGCAGACGTCAGAGACCTTCATGCTTGTTTTTAAATTGAAGTTGTGTTGCTAATGGTTTGAAGAAAATTGGGTGAAAATTATCATTCAACCATCTTTTTTTGTGCCACTGCATGGCTCTGTGATCCATTGAGGTGTTTATAAAAGGAAAGCTTGCAATCTGCTGAATCTAAATATGTCACCTGTGCCTGGTACATTCATCCAGTGGTCAGAGTGTTGGGCCCCATGGTATGGAACACTTAGAACAAGTTCCACAGAGGAATAAGAAACTATTTGTCCCCGCCCTTTCTTTTCAGCTCCAGCCCTACAGATTCTTTCACTGTAACTCCAGACTCAGTCCCACGCCCCCCCGAATAAATCCCTCTAGTAAGACCATAGTGTATTCTGTGGTACATACTTGCTCATGGAAGGCAAAAGGTGGTGTAAGGCACTCCCTTACTCCCTGGCATGGCCTACCCACATCGTGGATCACAGTGTAGAGGAGGAGGGAAGCAGCCCTTGTAGGGATGCTACTTCCCCTCCCACAGAAGAGGGTTGGAGGCAAGCAGGCTGGGGGAGCTTTGGCTCTTCCTTTCCCCAGTGCACCAGCCGATGCAGCTAGGGAGGCGCAGAGGCGGACATGATCCATGCCAGGACTAAGGCTGGTGCAAATTATCTCTGCTCTGGAGGAAGGGGAGAAAAAGGAAGCCACTAGAGCCAGTTGAAAACATTTCAAATGTTTTGATTTTTCAGTGAAAAATGCAAGCACTTTTTTGCACAAAATTTTGAAGACCTGGAGAATTTGAAGAACTTAAGAAAAGCACCAAATGTCATGAGACCCATGATAAAATTTCAAGAGCTGACAACACTGCCTTTGTGTTGAGCATGCTGATTTGGTGCTCATCTCCCTATACCTGTTCTCTGGCCCAAGAAGCAGATCAACAACCAATTCACTCAGCATGAAGGCAGGTGTGACCCTGAGTGCCAGGATCTTGGACCTCAGTATTCTGGCTTTATCTATCAGTGGTGCTAGGCATTGCAATGAACTGCCTGAATGTGTAATTGAACTGTTGCCCTCAGTTTGGAATCAGAACTGTCTTTCATAGTCTCTATTCTGCTAAGAGCAATCCTCCTTCAGCACACATGTTAAATGCCTGGGTACTTTTGGGAACAGGAGCATCTGGGTTCTATCCCTATGGTTGCAAAGAAGTTCTAAGTGGTCCTAGTATGCAACATAGTCAGAACTGTGGTTTTATAGGTAGTCATGGCTTTGCTACAGTATTATTAATCCTATTGTGCCATTGTGAAAACAATCTTCTGATTTCCAATGTCCAAATAACAGAGCATCTTTCCAACATATAGTTGTCTAAAAAACTTTTCTTTTCTCTCTTTCTTTTTAGTCTAACGAGACATCAACTTCATACCTCTCCTCACAGGATTTTCTCAAAAATGCTTATGTCCTAGCAGTTCTTCTCTTCCTGGCCCTTATCCTGCAGAGGACGTTTCTGCAGGCTTCCTATTATGTTACCATAGAAACCGGCATCAACCTGCGAGGTGCCTTACTGGTGAGTAAGATGTTGTTTCTGAGATCGGCATGCTGTAAAATGCCCTAGTGATGGCTCCACATTTTATTCTTTCGCTTATCTTGTCCTTTATCTGGGTGGTGTTTAACCACAGCTGAGGATTGGTACCACAATATCTTCTGGAGCTTAAAGCTTTTGCAGCTCTGAGCCCTGCTAGTTTTAAACTGTCTCTGCTGTAGACTGAAAACCTTTGTTTTACTCCAAACCCTATATTCTGCTCTGGGAGTCTAGTCCCAAAATCTCTCCTGAACTCAGGTCTCCTGTTTGGCTATATAAAATGCTCTCCACCAGGTCACTTTCAGCCTAGCTTGCCTTTATTTACTGTTTACTGCTTGAAAACTTAATAGAAAACATAATAGAAATTCATTTTATAATTACAGGGTTTCTACCTGCCAGTTACTGTAATTGCTCTTAATTTTAGATTTGTCTGAACTTATGTTAAGCTTTATTTATATTTTTTCATCAAAAATAAGCTGTATTCCTTCTTGTCCCATATCCCTATTCTCTCATTCTGTTGTCATTTTTGTTATGTTATTGATCTCATATGAGCACCACTCCTGCAGCCCTTGCTCAGAAGAACAGTCCCATCAGGCCAAATTCATTGCTGCTGAATGAGGTCTGTGTAGTCACACCATGGAGATGTTTGACCCAGTGGGACTGCTTGTAATGGCTGCAGAAGTAACAAAAAAATTGAGGCAATAATTCTACTATTTAACCTCTATTTTCAAAAATCTCTCTCTCTGTTTGGGAACTGGGTGACTGGACAATCTCTGATACTGACATTTGCAATGTCTGGTTGCTATTGTAACTTTATATACTGTACTTTATTCCTCTCTCCAGGCAATGATATACAATAAGATCCTGAGGCTTTCCACGTCCAACTTGTCCATGGGAGAGATGACCTTGGGACAGATCAATAACTTGGTTGCCATAGAAACAAATCAGCTGATGTGGTTCTTGTTTCTGTGTCCCAATCTCTGGGCTATGCCCGTTCAGGTAGAGCATCAAAGTAAGGGCCTAATTTTTAGAAGAAAACCCCCTGGAAAACAGAGGATATTTTTAACACAATGTACATCTTTGAAATTATTTAAAACAAAAAAGTGGAAATTATACCATTGGACTATAGTTACAAATGAAGAGCTGTGACCAGGAGGAGAACTAAAGGGTAGAACTGCTGTTCACTGTCTCCTCCAAAGGCTGTGAAGTAGTATCGCTGCAGGCCAGTGGGAAGAGATTTTTCTGGGTAATATTTACAAGCCAGGGGAATGCTCTGTGAATTTTAGAATGGATTACCTGTCTTTCCCACAGCCCTGTATGCCTTCCTCTGCTCATATTTATTCCACAACTGCCACAAGTAATCTGTGAAGGCAGCTATCATGGACCAAAATATTGCTGGTTTTGCAGAATTCATTTGCAGCTGTTTTATGGGGCAAGAGTGAAGAGTGTCAGAACTTGGCCCTTAATTCTGTGATCCTGTATTGCAAAGAAGGTATGGTATGTCGAGTGCTATAATGTCAGAAAGTGTGGTTAGTGATCCACAGAAAGGAACACTGATTTGAGTGTTGAGAACTAAACGGGTGCACTAGTTATCATAAACTTCTAGTTCTAAACATCTGGTTCTAATCCAATCTGGGTTGTGTACAGCAGAAGAACAGATGAATCAGAAGGAAGGAAAGACAATATTAGAGTTGGGGTAGCCAAATTTTCAAATGTGAGGAAGCAATTTAGGAGCCTAAGTCCCATTGACTTTCAATAAGACTTAGGCTCCTAAGATATTTTTGAAAAATTTACTCTTGGGCTTCTAAGTGGGGATGGGTAGGTCATAATTTATAGGTATTGTTAACAGCTGTCAAGGAAAAATAACAGAAATGAAAGCTTTGGTAAATTAGATCTACGCTATGTAAATTCATGGCACTATATAAGTCATCCATAATAATAAAGGGAACATCCACTTTTGTCATTTGCTTATTTTTAGCAGGGTCATCAAAGAGAATGTATGATGAAAAAACAGACAATAAAGGATCTGGATGGCATAAGGCAGGGATCGGCAACCTTAGGCCCGGCCCACCAGGTAAGAACCCTGGTGGGCCGGGCCGGTTTTGTTTACCTGCTGCGACCACAGGTTTGGCCGACCGTGGCTCCCACTGGCCGCGGTTCGCTGTCCCAGGCCAATGGGGGCGGTGGGAAGCAGCGGCCAGCACATCCCTCGGCCTGTGCCGCTTCTCGCAGCCCCCATTGGCCTGGAGCGGTGAACTGCAGCCAGTGGGAGGTGCAATCGGCCGAACCTGCAGACACGGCAGGTAAACAAACCGGCCTGGCCCGCCAGGGTGTTTACCCCGGCGGGCCACGTGCCAAGGTTGCCCATCCCTGGCATAAGGGATTAGTAACTACATAGACATTTTCACCTATAAATCACTGCTTCAAATCCAGGCTGGCTTAGAATTGTCCAAAAGGGGTTACCATATGAAGGTTTTTTCAGTTGGTCTTTGTTAATTAAACTGCTGGTTGCTCTCAGGCTAATTGTATGTAGGGTGACCAGACGTCCCGATATTTCCTTGTTTGTCCCACGTCCCGACCGATGTATGGTCGGGACACTGGACAAACAAGGAAATGCTCCGGAGCCCGGAAGTGCTTGTGCCCCTCCCCCCCCGCCCCACAAGCTCTGGAAGGAGGCCCGGGAGACGCAGGGGGAGCACAAGGCTGGGGTGAGTGAGAGTCCAGCCTGGTCCCAGTGCAGGCAGGACTCAGTTGGGCGGTAGAGAGAGTAGGGGGGCGGCCCGCGGGGCCAGGCGGCGACTGTTCTCCCCCTCTGGGCAGCAGGACTCGGGAGCAGCCGCTGCTGCAGCTCCCACTGCCGAGGGGGGAGGAAGCGGCCAATGGCCAAGCTCAGCAGCTGCGGCTGCAGCTCTGGCGCCCGGGCCCGAACCTCCCGAGCCCGGGCCTGCTGCAGGGACCCAGCAGCACGCACGCTGCGCCCAGCCCCTGGCCAGTCGCGTCTGAAGCCCACCAACTCCAGAGCTAATATGTCACTAATATGTTACTGCATGCTTGACTCTTTGGGGCAGACACTATCTTTTCATTCTGTGTTTGTACAGCACCTCTCACATTGGAGTCCTTGTCCATGTCTTGGGTAGGTAGGTGCTACCACAATACAAATAAATAATGATAATAAAGGTTTGTAGAAACTTTCCCTACAATTTCAAAACG